TGATATAATGAATAAATAATTTTGAAAAAGTGGTACTTTTGCAAAATTTTTGAAAAAGTGGTACTTTTGCAAAATTTTTGAAAAAATGGCATTTTTGAAAAGTGACATTTTTCAAAATTTCTCTTAGATCTAAGTGTTATGGAGATTAAATTTTATAAGGTAAAATATATTTATATATGTGAAAAATATACCATTTGATCTTTGTTATTTCTAATTTTTCCCGAATAATATAAAAATTATGATCTTTTATTTTTTAGATATTCTAATTCCGCGTTTGACGGGGATAAAAATCTAGTATATTATCTTTGTGAAGGGTTTTGTGACTTTTCTAGAGGATGCGTTGAGTATAAAACCCAAAATTTATTTGAAAAATTGGGTTGTGTAGCAAAACATTAAAGGAAAAGTAGGAAAATGACAAAAAAAAACTAGAGAAATTAGCTCATATATTAGTCTTGATACACATAATTTATTACTCCCTCTGTTTTCAAAAGAGTGTCATTTTGACACAAATTTTTTGTTAACAAAAAAGTGTCGTTTTAGGTTTCTAACACATATTTTAACATGTTTTTCCATTTTTAACCTCAATAAAAAATACTACTCCAAATAATATGAAAAGTTATTTTTAACACAAAATTCATGGAGTATTCACGTTCATTTTTTTATACTTCCAATGATGTTGACTCTCATCATGTGTACATTAAATACTAACTCTATAAAAAGTCTCAACAGTTCCTTTTTCTTTTTTCTTTTTGTTATGAGCACAAATATGAGTAAAAGGTCTATAGAAATTATGGAGGAGGAAAAAAAAATCGTGTTGAAACGTCAAAAACAAACGCAAAAAGTGGTTCATGCTTTTGATTTAAACAAACTACCCTGCGAAGAAGAAGAAATTCATTTCAATAAGGAGATTGTCATGAATGATGTCGAAGCTAAAAAGGTGCATCTGTTCGATCTAAACAAATCTTTGGATGAAGAAGAGGAACTTCAGTGGGATAGAAGAAGTATGGTACTAGGGATGCTTAAGATTTTGGTTCCAGCATATTTCAAAATATGATGAATCCAAAGAGAAGGTGCTTCCAAATAAATCGTTTAAGATTAGTATGATCACCAATAAAATTGTATGACCAATATTGGTTTTTAATAAAAATTTGGTAAGAAATATTTCACGTCATTGTTTTGTCTTTGCTATTCGTCTTTAAACTAGTTTTTCCTTTCTGTGTTACGTTTGATACAATTATATAAAAGTATATATTTTCAGTACGTTTGTTGTGTGTGTTGACTATGATTGCAACCTTCGT